CCGAGTAATTTCGCGAGGTCTCGGTACCGATACGAAACGGCCTATTGTCGGTGCGAAAACGCGGATAAAAAACGCGCCGTGCCCTTCCCACGAGGACCTCCGGCTTCCGGGAGGGTGGAAACCTAATCCCGCGATACTGGTCGCGCTTTAAGGCTAGGATATCATTAGAACAACATGGATATTCGTAATCTGTGTAATGTTATGTTACAACCACGCCGAGGAGGGGCCTTCGTCGCGTCTCTCGGTGCGACCAGCACAGGACGAGTCGCGACGGTCCTGGTCAGGCATAATTTCTAGATCCTTTTAAAACTCCGCATGGTCGCCGAGAAAATCGAAGCCCGAGGTCGAGGTCGGCCTCGAGAAGTGGTCCAGGATGGCAGGACCCGGCAGCATCCCTCCTGGGATGGATTATTGGGTGTTGGTCCCATTTCTAAGAGTTCCCAATAAACCCAAAGTGGTGGAGTACACGTTCGAATAAAGTGTCCTGCAAGGAAAAATGCGCTTTACCCGTTCCAATGTCCGCCATTTCCACGAGGGAAATGTTGAACGTCCATTCTACGTATATCGTGGTTTTTACACGTTTGAAACGTGAATTCCACTATTTTGGGTTTATCGGACAGTGTCAGACATTTGTGTATGTCGAAGTCGCGCAGGAGGTGGACTCCAAGGGAGGCTGGAAAGGACCTGAAATTCTTCCTCTTCGTCATATTTGATCGGGAATTTAACCTCGAAGAGACATTTATAACCTCGAGCAATGTCTCCTCCGGAAGGGAGAGCTATGGGAATAGTCGAATGCAATGGACGAATGCAAGTTGCACATGAACTGCGTATTCTCTTCTCGATTCTGGACGACCTCGACCTTGTCTTCGAGTTCCTCTTCCAGGTCGCTTTGCGGCCGATCGCGGCGGTTTTTCACATTATTTACAGTTTATACACTAATAATTGATATAATTGAAGACCCCGCGACGAGCGGGCTCGAGTTTTCTCTCTCTTGCCGAGTTTTGGGCTCTCTTCGGGAACATATATATATATATTTTTTTTTTCTCCTCCTTCGTCCACCTTGCCCGGGAAATGAAATCGAAAGCCGGGTTAGGAACGATCGATCGGTGCAATTAAATTCAGTTGCCGTCGTTAAGTGGCCCTTGATAATCCGGAGGGAGAAAATTCGAGCCCGCCCCTTCTCTCTCTCTCTCTCTCTCCCTTCCTCTTTCTCTTCTTTTCACCGTCGTCTTATTTTCTCTCCTTTTATCCAGTCGCGGACTTCGTAACACGCCGAAGTATGTACATACAACCCTATCTTCACAGCACCGGCTTCGTTAGCTTCCCACGTGGGACCAGCCAAAAAAATGAAAAACATCTTAAATTTACAAAATGGCACGCCGATCCTCTCGACTAAGGTTCCCGACGCACTTTCCCACGTATCAAATACATCAATCATTCCGCAGGGATTTATCGCACAACGATTTCACAGCTTCCGTCGTTACTTCAGTCTCTCCTTCTGTCGCGGCATCGCACGAATTATTCGTATAATTTGTATAATTTGCGTTAAATTAAATCCAGTAATTTATAAATCGAAGGCGGCATCCGAGAGGGTCGATCGTTCATGAAACCTTCTTCGACCTGGGTGTACCGAATCGTTATGAAATTTAGAACGCGATTGCGGAGGCTGTAAGGAAGGTCCTGCGCGCATGAAATTCCTTTCTTTTTTTTTTTAATCGAAATCCAATGGGCGTCAAGTCCTTCGTTGTAGCTTTCATATTTGGGTTTCAAGTTTGACACGATTTCGTACACTCGGTTTGGAGAAAAGTTGCATAAACGAGACCTTTGATGGCTTTCTTTTTTTCATCTTAAGGGAGGGCCGAAGTGGTGCGCCTGGGACTTGGAGAGGCCGCGACTTGGGGTGGATTAATTCCCGAAAAAAAAAATTCGGGAAATCATTATTCCCTCCCCCGGGGGATGCAGCAAATCGAGGAGCATCCAGGGGGACATTTTCCCCTCCCTGGGAATCGAGATTCTGGCATGGGAAGCCGCCTTTTTCCCGGCGTTTATTTCACGAACGTGCCGCTTCGCGAGTCTGCCAAGTGGCATAGATCACCGTAACGCCGTCCACCCCGTTTCCTGAAGATTAATCGAACACCCCGGGGAATTGGGCGAGGGTGTATCGAGACGCGAAAAATCCGCGGGGTCTTAATTTTTCACGCCAGCCAATCAGGGGGTCGGGCGGGATTTTTCCACCTTCGCTTTTTTGCCGAATCCCCCTTTTTTTAATCCTTTATTCCCTGGACGCGCCAGGAAAAAATTGGACGGCTCGTAATTCGTCCCGGTTGCGTCGCGCGATGGGAGACAGATTCGATCGTTTCTGCTTTCCGAGGGCATTGCGCTCGCAAATTCGAAAAATAAATCATTCCATCAAGGCCCGACTGGCCTCGAAACCAAATACAGAAGTCCTGGGAAAATTCCCGGATAATCATTTCCCCGTGAGAAAATTCAAATCCACCGGGGCGAGATCTTCGTCGATCGGATCAGGTCTTCTAATTGGAGGTTTTTGGGCATTTTCAATTTTTTTTCTTCACCTTTTATATATATATTTTTTTTATACTCTTTTCATGGACAGACAGGGGAAGTAGTGCTTTCGGTAAGTCGAAGGAGCTTTCTCGAGAGTGGCAGGGAATCGTGATGCCGGGAACTGCAAAGCAAGTTAGGAGGATGCCGAGGCTCGCGGTGGAGGTTCCCTGTTTCTACGTTTTGTACCCTGGGCAGGGATCCTAAAAGCACACCTGTTAGTTCCACATGTTTGTACGCGTGTTTCTACGTGCTCGGGTACACGTGTACAGGTGCGTGTACACGCGTAAGGACGAAAGCTCATGACCGGGTCCGCCAGGACTCACCCTTTCGGGGCGAGTGCTCTCGCCAGGGGAGCTCCGCACTTAGGGAAGAGTACTCGGCAAACTCCTCCTCTGCTTTGTGCGCCCGTGCAAACAATTATTATCGCGACAGTAAGACCGTTAATATGAAACGAGCCTCCTAACTCGACCCTGCCAGATGGGAGGAATGGGATACAAGGCCCTCCGAAATGAAGACGCCACCCCATGGCTCCGATTTCGGCGCGATGGGGTAATCCCGTGGAATCACATGCAGATAAATCAAGTCAATTAATCAAATGTTTTTTACATGCTTGTATGACAGTAAAGTGATTTTTACACGGGCGACCAAATATCTGGTCGACGTGACTGAGTCCTTCGGTCAAGAATTTTTAATTACTCCCATCAAATCTTGTGGAGTTAATGAGTTAATGATAATGATTTTGTTGAATGGAAATTAATCATCTGCGGGCTGGATGTCGTGTCAAGGGTTTCGGGGATTCGTCGGGTCTATGGAAAGTGGATCAGAGTTGATTAATACCCCTAGGGGGGTCCCTAGGGAATCTCGAGTTCGGCTCCGGCGATTACAGGTGAGGGGCTGATTTTTGCTCTTTCCCTTTCTTCTTTTCTCGGAGGGGATACCCAGACTTTGGAGAATATCGACTCCAACGATTCCCCGCGTTTTCGGGGAAACCAGGTCACGTAGAAACAATACCCCATTATTCCCACGTGGCCGCGTAATTATGCAGCCGCGCGCGGCCCTTTTTGCGGAAATAACGCGCGCATCCGGGAAGAACGACACCGGCGAATCCCGAAGTGTCGATTGTTCTTCGAGTTCGTCCACGATTTTGGGGTTGATTCATCGTGGGGGATCCTCCACCCCCAGGCGCACCAAAATCGGGATATGATGGGGATCGAGTCGAGCTCCAAAAAAAAAAGAAGAAAACATCAAGTAAATAAATCGAGGATAACATGAATTTTTCTATTATCTGTAATTAATTCAATATCGCGTCGGACGTAAAATATCGAATTTTCCGTTAAACGTAACAAAATGGATTCCACGTTAATCGTAAAAAAGTAGAATCCTCTCGCGAATGCGAGAACGAATTCGAGCACCTGCGCGGGCACACAGAAGGGTTCGAATTTTTCCTCCGGCTTCAGTTCACCCCTTTCTCTAATTCCGCATTCTCCCCGTTCCGTGGCATCGCCCTGGCCCGTCGTTTCTCGCCAAACTTCGTTTCCGTCCCGTAGAGAAGGTGCTCTCTCGATCCTTTCTCTCGCCCTTAGGTCGCGAAAACGAGGAGCGCCCGCGACCTACCCCAACGCGCCTCACCCCTTTGACCGTCTCGAAACAACGGGAAAAGCATATCTCCCTCTTCCTTCCCCTTTGTCGCGTATCCAGTCGTACGTTTTCCGCCCCTCGCCCGTAATCCGTCCTGCTTACCTTTTTACCCCGCGGCCCCTTTTACGTCCTTTCATTCCGGCGCTTCTATTCGCCCCCTCTCCTTTCCGCCCCCCCCCCCCCTGTTCGGCCTCTCGCCCTCTCCATCTCTCCGCGAGCGATATAAAAGTTCGCATTGTACCGGCCACTGTCGAACGAGCTTTTTTTCCCTCTTTGTCGCGCCTATGTCGCTATACGTTTACCCTCTCCCTCTCAGCCTCCGCCAATTCGCCCTGTTTACCTCTTTACCTCTTGGCCCCTTTCATGTCCATCCAGCGACGTTTCCGCTCCGTCTCCCCCGCGCCGGTGCTCTCCTCGCCCCAATTCCCCTGACGGTGATCCCGCTCTCCCGATTTTGCATAAACAATTCCCGGCCCCCCCGCGACGTTTCCAGAGAGTCAACGAACTTTCTCCGAATTCTTTTGGGATCTCTCTTCGCGGCCATCTTGGAAATCCGGCGAAATCCTATGCGCGGCCATTTGCTTTTCCAAGCTCTTTTGCACCGTTCTTGGAGTGTTCTTACGGGGGTAGTTCGTGTTCTTCTGTGTTCCCCTTCGCATCTTTCACCCCCCCGTGTCGCACTTTCTCCCCGGGGAAGGTAAAAGTCACATTTTGTACCGGCCAGTCCAGAGTCGACGAGCCCCACCGGTCCTTTACGTCGAAGCACTTTAATTCGCTGCGCCCCGTTGTCGGGTTCTTCATCTCAGCACCATCCTTCCCAGGACGAATCCCAGGGATGAGAGCAGTCCTAGGGTCGAGGGGTCACGAAAAGAGCTGGCCGATCCATGGTGCAGCTCGGCTAGACTTTCTCCTGAAACAAAGAGCTCCACTCAAACACCGTACACGCCCCATGTACCGATATCAATTGACACGTATCGATAAACCGGAATTCACATCTCGGTTAAATATGACGGATGTTGCCACGATGTCGAAATTAATATTTTCATTTATTGCTTGAATTTCCCGTCGTAATGTATAACGGCAATATTGTGTTTTATACTCCAGGTGTATCGCAATGTGATACCCCGTGCCTAATCACATTTATCCTGTATTGTCCCAGTATATTGAATTTAATATTTACTGCGTCCCGAAATGTTATATCGGCTCAATATTGCCTAGTAATCGGGAATATTGGACAAATATTACACTAATATATTAGCAATATGCATTCATACAGGCGGCTCTTCAGGAGCCCCGGAGAGTCTCGAATGCATCAGTATGCGATTTCGCTTGATTAAAAAAAAAAAAAAAAGTTTCAAATTTTGCAATGTTTCCTTTTATGGGGAAATTAATTTATTTATCGCCGTAACTGGGGAGGAAGGGCTCAATTTTGCAGGATTTTCGGACAATTGAAAGGGGCACTCTTCAGGAGCCCACGAGGGTTTTGAGCGTATTTGGGTGAGTTGGCTCGATTTTCCGAAAATTTTCATCCTTTCCCTCCAGCGGGAGAATTTATTTATTTATCGTCGCAACTGGGGCGGTCCGATCTATTTTTCCAGGATTTGTGGACAATCGATGGTCGGGGATTTAAATTGTTCAAAGCGATGGGAGGACGCAAGTCCGGCTGCAGTCGGGCCTTAAATTACCCGCAGGGCGGCTCTAATCACTCGCAAATTGTCCGCTCGTCCCAGATTTTCCTGCGTGACATTATTGGCGACAATTAACGACCCTCTGTCGCGGAGGGAGGGGGATAACGAAGTGAAATAACCGAGGGATCGTTATCGGGACGCGCGCGATGGGAGCAGTGCAGCTAGCTGCATCGCCGTTGCACTTCCGGACCCGTACCTGCGGGTATTATTGCACTTGAGGTAGTCGCAAATTAATGGCAGGGTAAACCTAATTACTGCCTGGCTAACCGAATTGGCAGAACAATGCACCCCTCGGGCATGGACCTTGCTCCTTATGTCTCGGTATCCTGAAAACCATCCACGAGCCGGGAACGATTCCGGGAGTCATCGAGTCATCTTTTTCTCCGCCGACATCAATGGACTTCTCTCCGGGAATTTTCTTCTTCTTTTTTTTTTCCTTATTTCTTTTTTCTTTTCCCCGGGAAGGAGAGGTCTTCCTGAAGGTGCAATCCGCTGGGAAGAAGTCGGCGAGCGGAAACTCCGCCCGCCTTTATTTCGACCCCTCGAGGAGGGATCCTTCAGGGGTTGTAATCCTAGAATCGAGCTCCTCTTTTCCTTCCTCCCCTAAATTGAGCTCTTTCAGGCCGCGAACACTCGGAAGAGGTGCCGCTCGATTTCTGGACTGCCTCGAATTTTCCCGATCCATTTCCGATCAATTGTCCAATCTTCGGGAGTCATTGCCGAAGTCGTCGATATCCTCAATTCGAGCGGGACATTTCCAAATTTTCCGGAATTATTATAGGAGACGTGGACTAGGTCGTTGGGCGGAAGTTTTTGGGAGTTAGCAGCGCGAAGGAAATTTCCAACATTTCGGGAATTATTAGGGAATTCCTCGACCGTGGGTCATTGTGAGAGAATTACGAAACGGTTTCGGGAATCGTTAGGGGATCCTGGATTACTGGGAGGAGATCTCGATATTTTCCGAGGGATTACGCCTCCACCCGTCGACCGTGAATTCGAGGGAGGGGATTTCATAATTTGTTTGGAATTATCAATTGGAGCATGGGTCCGGAATTTTGGGAAAACGCGGTTATTCCACCTGGCTAATGAACCGGGGTTGGGTACACCCGGGAGCATTACACGCGTTAAACATCTACTTAACGGAAACAAAAGGCTTAATTGGGGGTGGAAATCTCGACTCTTAAGTGCGTTCATTTGTAGTCAGAGAAGTTGGTCCTCTTCGGGGAGCGCCTCGGATGTTTCGAATGCACCGGCGAGGCAGAAAGGGGAGAGTATACTCGTTTCCGGGGATTTCCCGCTTTCCCAGGATAAACCCGCATTCGAAATTGGGTCTCTCACCGTTTAGGACGTGAACGTGGACCGTCGCAGGACGATCCGGCATTATGGTCAGGACGCAGGTGTAATTCCCGCTGTCACCTGGACCCACCCTCGCTATGCTCAGGGTGGAGTTGGCACCCTCCTCCATCAAATCCGTCTTGACGCTGGAAAGAAATAAAACCAACACCGTCATAGACTTATCGATGTTCCTTTATAATTTTGGGAAGTTTTTAAAAATCCAATCAAACTGAAAAAAAAAAAATTTCCCCCGAACCGGGGAAAAATATTTCATCGAATGGCACGAAAGAAATATCTCGATAATTGAAATTCGAAATTGTGACGATTTAATCGAGGGAAATAATTATTCGTTGTATTAAAAATATGTTTCCTCGGGAATTCGGGAATTTCTTTGTTTCAATGGAAATAAAGCGAACGAGGGATAACGACTCGCCCCCTGATAGTCGGTGCCGGGGGTCGGAGCCCCCCTTGAGAAGAACCCCCTTAATGAGGCGGGAAATTGTCGAAACTTTTTAATTCCTTGGGACGCGGTTTTGCGGGGAATTTCGCCGGAGCAACAATTGTACACCTTTTTGCCGGCACGACGAAACTTCGGCTTTAACACTCTCCGCCCGCCGGGGCGAATTTCCTGGTTCAGCAAGTTCCCGGCAATTACACGGGATTTCTCCGGCCCTCCTGGCGGACTGAAACGCTGTCTAAACACGAAAAATGTCCAATGGCCAATTAATGTCTTTCTGTGCCAGGCAAATATGTCCTCGTTAATCTGCCATCCTTAATAATCACTTCGGCGCACCGGAGGGGAACCGACGTCCTCTACTGATACTCAATATGGCGGAAAATGTAGGTGGGCTAGAGAAAAAAATTAAAAAAAAAAAAAGGCGAATAAGAGAGAGGACCAACCAGCCTTGGAAAAATATTTCCGTTTTATTACCCGAAACGAAGAGACATACATACACCGAGAATGCAAATTCGGTCGTAATGCGAAAATGAAAATTTTTCGGACGACATTTTCAGGCTGAACGCGAAGTTTGAAAATCGCCGGAGAAATAAGCCAGGTCGAACCTTTAAAAGCTCGACGTCGCATAATTCAATGTCAAATTGGCCAGCCCATCCTCCCTCTCCGCGGCGGATCCTCCGCGCAAGGTTTTCCGCTGATTTATGCCGGCGAACTCCGCTCGACGGTTCCGTTCGCGGAACTCTTTAATTGAAAAAGTTCCCCCTTAACAATTTGTCTACTCGTTATCTAGTCGGCCGCGGAATACGCGCTCGATACCCGCCGAACAAAACGCGCATTTGCATCGGCGGCGATTCCGCGGCGGCGGCTCCGCGAGCCAAGGGCCAGCGCGGACGTTTCGAAATTTCGAATGCAGGCCGACTTTCGATGCTTCTTTTTTCCTTTCTTTTTTTCCCCCCCTATTTCCTGCATTTTGACATTCGTTTCCCCGAGTCCAGGAGAATTTACAGGCTCCCCGCGGCGGGGAAACCGCGCCGGATTTCGCGCGGGAGCAAATATTGCTCCAGCGTGAAAAACCCCTCCCGCTAGAGCGGTTCTTCCTCTCCATTCTCGTGCGGGAGGAATAATGCAAAAACCGGGAAGGGACTTCCGGTTCCGAAATTTATTCCCCCCACCGTGGGAATTTTATCGGGAATCGCCGATGCGGTTTCAGGGATGCGTGTTTAATCGGGGACCACCTTGGAAATTCGGCCAGCAAGTTCGGGGGAGGCGGAAATTCGGGTCCAGAATGTCGCTCCAAAGGGGAGAGTTTATCGCGGGGAAATTTTCAGGTTATCGCGAAATTCAAGGGGGAATATCACGTTGACTCCAAGTGATGTCGTAAATTATTATTTATCATGGCAAACGGCGACGTGGTCTTAAGGAAACGCAGATATGGAAATTGGTAATCCTGGGAACTGGATCCTATATTAATTCTAATTAGAAATGGTCTTTGCGAGAAAATTGAATGCTCGGTGGAGCGACGTTCGAGTAAAGAGACGCGACTCGTAGTCGAGGCTTTTGAACTTGTTTGAGAGGCAACCGAATTTTCCTTAAGTTTTATGAATTATCATTTTTTTATGATATACATATCATACAGCTCTACAGAGACGCGTCTTAAGGCGACTCGGGTGCGACAAGTAGAGCGGGAAAATACCCAGGCGGTAAATAGGAATAAAAGGAATAAAATTTATACTCGTAACACGCTTTTCCGGGTTTTTCGGGAAAGGAGGGACGGCTGACGTTCGATAACAGAGTTTCCCCGCGGAAGGCGACATTTTTGAGGGTATTTTCCCTTCAGCCCCTCTCTCGTGGCGGCTTCTTCGAATTCGCGGCCATGTCGGGGGAGGATTTATATTAATAAATTGGGGATGATGGACGGGCTCGTCGGGTGTTCGAGGGGAAGCTGGAACCCCCGTGGCCTGGCACCTCGGGAAAATTCAGTTGGCCGTGTTCCCCGGGCCACCAGTCATAATAATTCCCAACAATAACTTCCCGGTCTGGTTTCTCGGAGCCGCGGAAAAGTAGAGGAATCCATTTGCCGTAATTACGAGCGCGGAACCCCTCGCGATTTTCCAGGAATCGACCGCCTCCTAATAGGCCCCCAAAGAGACGATTTCTCGCCTCTCACAGTCCCCATCTTCCAATTTTTAAATCATCCCTCTTCCTACACGCCTCCAGTACTCCGAAAATCCATCGGGAAAATTTATCAGAATTTATTCATCATTTTCAGGAATTTTTCAGTCAGTCTCCTCGGGTCAAGAAAAATCGTCCGCGCGCGGAATCGCGACCGTCGGAACGCCGCCTTGAGTAAATATTTCCGAAAGGCAGACTTTACCTTTTATGAATATGATTCCGGGAATATTTGCCGTCCGTACTCGTCGGGTATTGATATTTAAATCAGGGGATACTTTTGTAAATACCGATTGGAGGAGTCCCCGTGTAGTTTGATTAATTAAATTGTTAATATACCCGCCGTAATGCGTATCGACTTAATTTCCCAGTGACGGTGTTATTATTTTATTTATCTGAGGGCTGAATATGCAACGAGCCCGGATCTGTAATTCCAAATTCGGCGGTTAATTAAATCGTTGATTTAATTAAGAGTTACTTGAAAAGAGTTGCCTGTACTCCCTCTCTGCGCTTCCGCCCCCCCGTACCCTTCTACCGCTTACAATTATAATTCTCCAGAATTATTTAATCCGCCGTAATTTTCGCGTTGTTCCTCCGGGATTCGCAGTAGCCCCGCAATTATCGGAAAGAATTACCGCCGAGCGTTTTTAATCAAAGCGGGATCGATTCGCGAGGATTCTTTGTCCCGGTCGGTCTTAATTTGTCCTTAATTAATGGGGGGGCATTATTTCCCCCGTGGACCTTTTCCCTTAAGGGAGACGGTGTGTCCTTAAGAATTACCGAGTTATGGAGAGAGGAATACAAGAAAAAAAAAAAGAAAAACGAAAAATCAAAGAAGACGAGCGAAAGGAGGAAAGCTCGAGGAGATCTCCTTTTCTGAAATGTCCTGCGTTTCCGTAACGAGAACGCGAGCTTTTCTTCCTCTTCCTTCCCCCATTTCTCCTTCCCTCCCCCCAATATGCTCGCGAAAAGCTGCGCCACCCCTTTCACCCCCCTTTTATTCCGTAAAATACTGCGAAATTTATTCCCTCGGCAGTTTTTCCGCACAGAGTTGCAGATTCCGTCGCCACCTTTTCTTTTTGTTCTTCCGCCCTTCTCCCCCTTTGTTGCATCGATGCAACATATTTTCCATCCTCGCCGGTTGATTTCATTTTCTGCGAATTTCTCCCGGCTTAATCCCCCTTCCTATGCGATTAATTCTCTCATCGATCTTCGTTAGTTTCTATTTTTCTTTTCCTTTTATTTTCCCAAGCTTGAGGCTCGCCCAATCGGCGGCGATCGGCGGAATTCCGAAAACGGGGCGAACCGCGGATGTTTTTTCCCGGTAGGGCTGTTCCGCCTCTTTCATTCCCTCGGGATCTCTGCGGCCCCGATAAATAACCCTTAAATTCGGCCCCCGGAATATTCGGATCGGCCGATTAGTCCGACGTTGATTGGTTGAGTGGCCGTTTCGATTTGCGGCCATTGAGAACGGAGCTTGCAGTCTCGTCCCATCGATCGGATAAAATCCCCCCGTGGTTGGGGAAAGTATTTCCCGGAAATGCCGATAAAACGGAATCGCACCCCATACTTGATTAACCGGCCTATAAAAAGATCCAGCCGAAAGGAAATAATTCCTTCCCATTTTTTTTTTTAATTTTTACGGGGACGTTTTGACACCTTCGAGGGATTTAATCAGCGATTTATATCATCGTTGTTTCGGGAGGTTTAGGTGGTTATGAAATTACCCCGAATTACCTGCAATTATATCCCGCCGGTAATCACGACTGTAAACTTGTAGACAATTGGTCATGACCATCCGTCAATATTTTTCTATTTTTTTTATAGTATCCACGGATAGGATTTGCTAGCGGAGGGGATTTAATCGGCGATTTGTCTCATCGTGGATCGGGGCTGTTTCAGGGGTGTCGAAATTACCGGAATTACGTGCAAAGATACATCCTGGGTAAACACGGCTGTAAACTTACCCCACTTACCCCCCAGTACACCCCCGATGACAACTTTGCTCTCAGTCGAGAAGCGCCCCTCTCGGGGGGAGGTTCTAACGTGACAATGCACCCCTCCTCGCAGATTCACCCCCGGAAGTATACCCGAATTGTTTATAGTGAGTTATAAGTTTGAGGGTAACGTCGGTAACTCGATCGCATTTGGTTATCACCTCCGCGAGAGTGCAGAGACGTTTCTGGGGTGTCAAGGAAGGGTTGCACCCTCCGGGGGTGGTTTCCGAGGCGCGAGAAATTCCAGAGCCGTGCCTCCGTAATTATTCAACAAGCATGGAAAAGTATGATCACCTCGGTAATTAAATCGGGGAATTTTCGGGGGTCCGACAAAGACCCCCCTCTGATAATGCAATCAGTCGACGTGTCAATCGATACCCCCGACTAGAGACATATTTTCGGAAACCATTTCAAAGCCGCGGCGAGGCCCGTAATGGAATGAAAATTTCGATTACGGCAAATAAATCCGTTTAAGCGATGAGCAATATTTCACGAATCATTGCGTTCCCTTCCGAGCCAGAAATCACGTTTCCGGGCGGCGAGGGGTGCATCGATCGGACCTTGGGGGAGGAAGGGGGTCGAATCGAAGTATGGAAAAAATGATTATCGCCGGGGCGATAAATTCCGAAATTAATTACTCCGATCGATGGGCGGCCGTATGGTCGATTTTTACCCTTTTCGGGGTAACTGGACAAATTCGGGGGAGAAATGGAAATTTCCGGGATAAACGAGGCTCGATAATTCCAAAGCACCGTGCCATGGTATTTTCCTACTGGCTAGAAAAATACTGCCACGGCCCTGGCCTCTGGGCGCAATTTAACTTTTTAATCGATCCCCCCTTGTGCAGACCTTGTTTCCGTACCACGGGTGGAGGCGTTCCTCACCTTGGACCCCCTCGGTGGACGTTTCGCAATTTAGGGAAATTAAGGGGAGTCAGGTGGCCTCTCATGTCCTGGTGACGGTCACCCTTGGACATGACCTACCTTACGTGCTCAAATCATTCTAGGTTATGGTCAAGATAGGTATTGTTGCCGTAACTGTAGGTCGTCCCCCGCCTTACGTATAGTTACTTAAATCATCCTAGGTCAGGGCCAGGATCCGTATCGCTGGTTTACTCACCCTCCACCATGACCACCATACATATAAAGTAGGTCATGATCCGCGCAACTTGCACTTACTTCCACCGGGTGCACATGGGTACGTACAGAGGGGATGCAGCGAAAGCGAGTCGATGCAGTCCTCACCTGATACCACCCCTCGTCGTGTCGTAATTCAGGGTTCGGTTCCCGTGCATCCACTGCACCACGCTGTACTGCACCTGCATGGCCAGGTGACGGACCACGCATAACAATTCGATGGTGCTGTCGGCTTCGTAGTACTTGTCCCTCAGGGCCTCCCCCATGGCGTCGACAATTTGCACCGACGGGGCTGCAAGCCGAATTGAACAAAAAGTTGTTAATAAAGAATGGCCGGAAAATAATGCATTTCCTGGCAGTAACGAGGGGAGGTACACGTGGGGGGGTATAAAGGTGTCCCCGGTAAAACCAGGTCACCCCGTATTCTCGTTGACTTTCCATTATATCCACCCCCGTCTTCGTCATCTTTTTCAGGGTGGCGAAGCTTTCGCGTACGCGAAACTTCCCCCTGAAACGGGTGAATGTGGGAATCGCGGAAGTTCCTCCGGTTGGGAGAAAAAAAGAAAATGGAAACAAGGGTGGTTTTCGCGGTGCTAAGGGTTTCCCGATATTGATTCCTCGACTAAACAGGGAATAGAACTCCTGCAGGAGTGCCAGGATAGTCGTTCGGTAAATCGACGGACCGCCGACTGTCGCACCTCGTGGTCCCTCTTTTTTTATTCCCTCTTTCTCTCCCCTTTCTCTGATTTTCCCCATTTGTTTATCCCACCTCCCCGTTCCGGCGTGCTGGGAATTTTTCTCAGCCGCCGACGTTGCTTCATTTACTCGCCCTCCTCTGCTTCCCTTAAACAAACATTTTCCGCGCTTCGCCGGCGAATTGTATCGCCGGGAGATGGAGGAACCGGGAATCCGCGTTTCCGGATTTTCCTGACGGCGGGTCCGGGAATAATGCCGCCTGTCGTCGGGCTGAAATTATCGAGTCTCGCTTTCGCGCCGTCAGGGATGACGACGACCTGTCAGAAGAGAGACAGCTCCGTTGACACCTGCTCTTTCGATTTATCGGCAGGTCTTCTGGTCCCCTTTCGTCGACTCTTGGCTCAATTTCGTCGTCATCGCTCGTCGAGTATTTTTGTCCTCTTCCGTCATTCCGATATCTTCTGGTTCCCCTTTTTCGTCACTTGGCTTAATTTCGTCATCGTCGCTCCTCGGGGTTCCTTGGTTCACTTTCGTCATCGTCCAATTCGCTTTGGTCCCCGTCTCCTAGTTTCCTTCAGTCCTCGTTTCGTGGTCCCCTTTGTCCTCATCTCCTCATCCCTTTTAACCCGTGTTTGAAGGTGGAAATTTGTCTTCCCTCCAACACAATCAACCCCTAACAATTAATCGCCTTACGTATGTTCCATTGGCACCGAAAAGTTTCCTCGAACTCTGCGACGGAATTGCTCATTTGCGTACTAAGCTGTTGACATAAGTTCCGGGAGTAAATACCTGATGTTAACAACTGCATTTGCAGCGGTAACGCCACGCGGCGCCCTCAAAGAACGACCCCGGAGTCATGAAATTGCAGCTGACAAGTTAAACAAGGGCCTCTTCAGGAACAATCGCGTCGCTGGAGAGTTTAACACTCCTGGTTCGAGGTACCGAGATAGCGTGTGTCAGTTTTCCTCTCGAGGAGTGTCGCTCTTCGGGTACTCCAAAGTGGGGTAATACGGTGTCTAATAATTTTTTTTTTTTCTACCATGTTTCATATATTTTAGGATTTTTCTTCAGTCTAAATTAACGACCTAGACATGCCGAAGAGCGTAGAATTATTTTTCTCACGTTTACGATTCGAAGATGAACTACCGAGATCATGCGCGTACCTGATCAAGTACTTCAAAGTGGGGTGATACGATGCCTAATAAATTTTTCCCGTCTTTTATATTTTCTCGGGATGTTTATCCAGCCTGATTTAACGACCTACATATGATGAAGAGCTGTTCCGGTGCTTTTGATTCGAAGATGATGAGGTCTTCGGTCCAAGGCAAACGTACTCTTTTCTGGGCTAGGAACCGCATCGATTGGCGCTCGTCTCATAAATCTTTCCCGGTATTCTCGACCCTCTCTAGCAGTCTATGGACCATCGAAATATAGCACGACAATGTATCTTGACTGAATCTTAAGAGATCGTTTTAAGTTACGAGAGTCTACTTCTCCGTCGAGCCAGTATCCATGCCAAAAGAAGCACCCAATCGATCCCCTTTTCAACTATTCCGGCGCCGGGATAAAGATGTCCTCCTCAAACTTTATCGCGTTTCCAGGTGACGTTAACAGACGCGGTTATCATTTCCCGGTCCTATTGTTACCAGTGAGTCCAAAATCGAGCTCTTCAGGATTTTCTTCGGGTTCCTCGGAGGAAACCCTCTTTTAAGGTACGTCTTAATGTGGCGGAGCAGCCTCATCGGACTACTTCGCCACTTTTCCTTGTACCGAGAGACTAACTGCATCCATCCCCGGTCGTAACGTAAATCTTGGACGATGGTGCCGGCACTTCCGGTGGAGTTTGTAGCGCCGCGATGCCAGGACGATGCCGGTCGGGTCAAGAGGTCGGAGGTTGTCCCATATGTAAGTGACGAGCCCCACCTACAGCGGAGGTTCGTCCGAGATTAACTGCTGAGCCTCGGTTTATCCCCGGGTGGTTTCGCCTCCACCTTCGGAGTGTCCTCGGTCGGATCCTGAAGGATCGCGAAGGCGGGAAAGAGATTCCTAGGCTCGAAATTTGGGATAGGTCAAGAAGTTGGAGGCTGTCGCATACATAAGTCAGGCGACTGCGCTCGGGGAGTCTCTCCCTCGGGATTAACCGCTGAGCCCCGGTTTATCCCGCGCCCTGGTTTGCCTGGTACATGAACCCGGCTGGATCGTTGGATCGGATTATCCCGGGGAGTCCTGCCGAGCCCCGGATCCTGGAACCGAAGCAAAGAAATCCCTCGACTCGAAATTTCTACCCCAATTCGGGAATCGGGATGAAACGGGATCCCTGGCAGAGATAAACGCTTTAAACGGGGGACAGGAATCTTGTGGTCCCTTCGGGTCGCCGCGAGGGAACATCCCGAAGAGTCCTTTTGGGAGGAATCGCGGGACTTTCGACGGCTCCCGCGGGAATCCCTCCTTGGGAACCAACCGAGGTGTTCCAGGAATTCCTCTTTCGCGGAAAGTCACGATATCTCGAAACAAGGGGCGAAGGGCGGCGGGGGATGCTCGGAGCTTACGTTTGCACCGAGCTCCGGTGCATCGCGGTAATGCATCGCGCTGCATCGCCGAGGCTTTCGCGGGGGGCGACACGACGTGGCGAATCGTCGGGAGGGGCACTTAAGCCGGGACTCGCGGGAAATGCCGATGCAAGAGTGGAAACTCCGAGGGAAACGTGAGAACGAACCCTGGGTTCCCACGTTGAGGATTGTTCCGCGATCGGCGTGTTCCGTGCACCGAGCTGCATCGTCGCCGATTCTCGGCCGATCGTTATCACCGCGGGAATGCACCGATGCACCCGGCAAGGGACGAAAAAAAGATACCCAATTCATGTCGCCTCGATTACAGATGATTACGTGATAGCGATGATAATGAGAAATCGTCGAAATTTAATATCGAATACCAGAATGGCGGGCTCTTCGGGGCGTTCTCCAGCATCCCCGCTGACGTTCTTCGGGATTTAAAATACGAAGGTCCCCTCTTCTGGAAATGAGACCGCGGTTCGATCTCTTCGACAAAGGACCCCTCTATCCTGGAGACCCGTTCGAGGGACGAGAGTCGGTCCGAAATTGGCTCGGCGCCCGAAAGCTAAATATGTTATCAGCGCCGTACAGACCTTTATCGGGAGGATCGCCCTTCTGGTCGGAGAGATCGAACTTTTGGTCCACCTGTCATCCGAAATGGCTTTCCTCGAATTAAGGTGTCTCCGTTTTCGGGTTGCCTCTACTTCGGGGTTGCCTGGAAACCCAGGACCCTCTTCAGGGTCCGACAAGGACCAAGGATGGATTAATCGACGCACTTTAATACCGTCCCTCGCACTCAGCTAAATGAAGTTCTTCCGCGACTTCTTCGAGTCCCCTCCAGGCGGTCGCCGCCTCTTCAGGCTCCTCTCTTCGTCTCCAATTATTTCACCAGCGATTCCTTACAAGAAGGGGACCCGAGTAACCCGTCCGATCGTCCTGGAACACTTAAGCTCCACCTTTAATCGACTTAACGACGAGTCCTGGGGAAACTGCGCGGCTCCCACACCCTGGAGAAAGGCAACGGCGAGTTTCGAGGACGTTGGTTAAATTCCCGATAATTCCCGGGATTCCGAGGGAGGAATTTTTCAGCTCTTTCCTGACGTATGACTTCCGAGGCGGACTCGGAAAGCCTCGGAGAACAATACCTATCCATTTTCGAAATGCTCCCCGCGGCCCTCGGGAATTGGCTCGCCGATCGTCGGGCGCAGCTCGGGGAGGCTTTAAAGATATTTTAAAGTCAGCGCCGGGATATCGTTTACCCTGAAGAATGTGCTGCGGAGCCGGGGCCAGATATGGCGGACGTTAAATGTGAGTCCGGCGACGTGGTTCCTTACTTTTATTTCATCTCTTTCCTCCCGATTTTCCCCGGGAACCAGTGGGAGCTTCCTCGTAGAGAAATCTGGGTAATAGAGGTAACGTTGGTACCTAGTACTTTGTCTTCATTTTTTTTTTTTTTTTAAGGGAACCGATAGCTTCCCTTGCAGTTAATCCCTTGATTGGTAGAGTACCCGAAGTGATAACGGGGAAGGATTTTATCATTGGCTCGCGAGTTTTGGCGCCGAACGTCGATGCAACGTGTTCGCGTGCACTCACCGTTGATGTGCAGGTTGACGTGGATGAACCTCGGAGGATGAGTACTAATCTGACACTCGTACTGGCCCTCGTCGCTGCTGTTGACGTGCTTGATTTGGAGCCGCCAGTTGTTCGGATACTGAAACTCCACGGTGTACCTGGGATCCCCGGTGTATGTCTGTTGTCCGACTGTCAACAGGTTCATCTTCTCCCCGTCCTCCTGTCTGCGCACCCAGGACACCTAGGGCACGATTATCCATCACCTGGTGCACCAAGACACGAGACGGTCGCACCGGCCAGGATCCTCGAACTTCGTCCCTTCCCTTGGGAAGATGTCCGAGGATCGGCCTTCGAGGTGCTCGATTATTCTCCGACATTATCGCCCATAAATTGGCGCCTCATTAACTGGCTGATAAATGCACCGATGCACCGATGCACCGGGACGTGCGAGCGGGCCGAATTGGAAAATAAAAGCGAACCGAGCTCTCTCGCGATCGCTAATGCACCGATGCGTCCTGCATACGGAATTCTTCAGCGGACTCGATTAAATATGGACAGCCGGTGGGTTATCGCAGTGCATCCGCATCGGGATGCACCGAGTGCATCGGCCACTTGGCGATCGTAGGGAACGCTTCGAAGCGACTCCCGGAATTCCTCGCAGAGGAGACCTTGCACCCTGACGGATAACACCTTTCCATGATTTATTTTACTTTTTTTTTCCCTTTCTTAACCTCCTTATCAAAATACAATTAAAAGTCTTACTTCTCCTCGAGCGTGCCCGGGATTATCAGCGTTCATAATTTAGCCTGGGTTTTAATTGAATTTTCCAAGGTAAATTTAATTAACTCCGTGCGGTACATTAGCGAATTATTGTGTACCGAGGGTACGACTGTGCGCGGTGCATTTTATGTGTAACTGCAGCGCAGTCCTGCAGTTATTGCGCTTCGATGTGATCGAGGAATGTGGATGAAAAATTCGATGCCGGAACAATTAGTCTCATCGGAGTGATGAAAAAAAAAAAAAAAAGATTTCAGAGGAAATGAAGCCGGTTGTTCTGGTATGAAATTTTATGTCGATGCATTTTATTTATCATTGCGTCTGTGGTCTGCTTACAGTTTTATCCTGGAGCAGGGATATCCTGCAGTCTAGGACGACCGTGGCTCCAGCCTGGACCGTGATATTTTGGCTTTCTCCCTCGAAATGGGGACCCCATCGATGGTCGTGATGGTGTTGGTGCTTGTTCAGAGTGCTGTGTGCATCGAAGATGTAGTTCAGGATCGGCGCATCCGTGGGGATCGATCTCTTGGCAGCGATCGTCACTCTGGTCGAGGACCGCAGCGTCGTCACAGGTGATTCTGAAAAATGATAATTATTCATTACTCGATCCCGAAAGATGATAATTTTTTCGCTACTTGACCCTGATAAGTGAATTGTCGGGAATCGTCCTGAGATAAATCTCGAGGGGATGTATTTTTTATGGGGGTCTTGGGGTCGCGATCTCGCCACAGGGGCGATTCGTCGTCCCCCGTGTCCTCGGCAATGGGTCCATTCAGGGGCACCGGACCGTCAGGACTCCCCAGGAGCATAAAAGTCGGAGTAGAATGCTTCGTTAGGGGAATCCTCTGAAAAGCCGAGGTCCGAGGAGACGAGTGGTCCAGCCGGTGCGGTGGCGAGGTCGGACACAATTTCTTAGCACAACGGCCGGGGCGTTTCTCTCTCTCTCTCTCCCGGGTTTTCCGGCCATTGTGTCGGCAATAATATCGCTGCACAATACTACGGGGTTTCGCAAGGATCGTGACTCCTTCCGAGAGCGTATTTCTCGGGCCCGTTCTCGGCGAACACCTTCATGACCCTTTTGCGCGACCAACTAGCCCCCGCCATTTTGAAAGATACCCTAGACGAAGACGATCGATTACAGATAAACTAAAGATTAATAACTGGAATTATTAAGATGTATGTGAATTTTCTAAATTATTCTTGGGAGGATTAAAACACTCCGAGGAGGATTCTCAGAGGTAAAGCATGAATTTATAAGGAATTACGTCGGGTAGCACTATACGTATATATTTCATTTATTTATGATGGTTTTTATACGTCAGTTCTAATGGAGGGATTTAAAGCACCCCTCGGAGGATTCCCAGAGACAAAGTCACAGGATTTCTCGGCTTGTTTCCCCTAAACTCGGATCATCCGTCAGCGAAGTGGATGTCGGACGTTTTCCCGGAAAATGGGACTTTCCTCCATATCTGGCCACCTATCAGGATGCACCGTGCGGGGGAACTCCTAGTAACGACGTCGTCTTTTGGGGTTAGGGCAGGTCAGCCACGAGTCGAGACGAATTTCCTGTTTAAGATGCTCCCGAGGGATGAGAACGGGAAATCGAAATTTTCCAATTTCATCGAAACCACGCTTGTGCGGGAAAGCCGAGTCCCTGGTGACATCTCTCGTCGACCGCCCTGACGAGTGACGTGCGTTAAGCAGATGCGCTTTTTCCTGTCTCCCTATGCACTCCCTCTCCCCCTTTCGCAGGCCCGCGGCGTCGTTGCAAACGCTGTTTGCAACGAAACCGAGGCTCTGTGCACCATCGTGATGGATTACACGAGATCGCACCGGCCCTAGGCGAGTTGCACCCTTCTGGCCTCGCGGTGCATCGCAGGATGCACGTTAAAGAAATTCCCTGGACCCGTAGCGGATTTATTTCTCCCGAATTGAGTCGAAATTTCTTACATTTCATATAAGTCAGGTGCAGGGAGGAAAAGTGCACTTCGCAAGGAAGTACAATAAATTGCCCGAGGTCGCGGTTTCGTATTTCGCGAGGCGGTCCCGAAAATTGGCGGGCGGGGGCAAATTCGCCCCCGGAGGGGGGATTTACGCAGACTCGGGGTAATTGGGGCGAGGGTTGAGTATTAATAAATCCTCGTTGGCGCAGGCCGGAAGCGAGCCGGACAGGGTCCGGCCGTAAAAGTCTTCGCAGTTCCGGGACGCCGGCGGAATGCGGAGGTCCCGAGGGAACGAAGGGTGGAGGGCTCGTTAGAAAGCCGCCTCCGGGGTGGGATCCGAAGAAACCGGGACCCGGGGCCGCGAGGGGAATCTCGGTTAGGAGGGGTTGTTCTTTTTCCGTGGTTCTTGGCCGACGCCTCCTTACATTCCGGAGCACTTCCTCGTGGGGGTTGCTCCCCGGCCCGGGACCGAGGGGCGCCTTTTCCCGTCCAGGGGGTGGCGGGAAATGGAAGATGAACTGATCGGAATTCCGGAAGAGTCCCCGGAAGCGTGTCCCGGTTGCCGATGCGCCCCAGTCCCAAAGACTCCCCCCCCCCCCTCGGAATATGGAAATCATTATCATATCGACATCGGTTCCGCATCGAAGGCGTCTTTCCGGAACGCAGGGGCCTCGTATCCGGGAAATCACCCCGAAGAACGACGGGTTTACGCCGCCGACTCGTTATCGCCGACCTTGGAGAATGAAAAATTGTCCGGGATTTTTCTAGGGTATTTTTTATACTTCAATTATACGCATGGTATTGTTTTTACCGATACGTTGAACGACGTTGTCACGTCGATATCGGCTTCGCATTATCGCCGGAGAGGTAGGCCTCGTATAGGGGAAATCGCTCTGGAGAACGCGAGAAACTCGTTACCCCCAACCCTGAAGGAAATGTCGACTTGCAGGAATCCGCGTGGCACCGAGGTCTTTTTTTCTCCATATCCTTCCAGCCTCCACCTAACCTAGAAAACCACGTGGACGTCGTTACTCCCGACCCGTGGAACTGGAGAACAGGAGACGCCTTATGTCTTGGAACAGATAAAAGTAGAACCGACCTGGAAATATCGAAATTCGACATCAGCAGCGATACGTCTTGGCACGAAGGGGCTATCGATCGGTATTCGACGTAAGCTCGTGATAACAGAGATAGTTTATGAGGGCGGATTATCGGGGAGGCTGTCGGCCGTCGAAGGGATGTTTCGCCGGGCGAAATTGCTTGTTTTGGACTAGTTGTACAGCTCGATCGAAGGCATTCGGCGGTACCGCTGCTGGCCGGAAGTGGCGACACCGCGGGTGCCTCGGGGAACAATATTGACTCGTTATTATCGGCCGGAGGGGTGGGTCGAGGGTCAACTGCGGGATCAAACTCCGACGTTTGTTTGGCCGGGGAACTTTCCGACCCCGGTATCGCGGGAGTCCTGAAAACCTCGGTCATCCCCCTTCCGGAACAATGGATCGATTCGCAATCACCAGGTCTTATGAGCCACTCGAGGTGGAGGTGCATCCCAGGTGCACCCCGGGTGCATCGACGCACCTGTTTCGTTTTAATAATGTATCACTAGGTGGATGACCACCCTGGATTTCCCACGTCCTATCAGGTGTTTCCCAGGTTCTTTCCGTATTACAGTTCGTTCTGGGGCGGAAAGTCGCGAGGGGATTGGAGCCCCCCCGATCCCCCCCCCCCCCCCCNCCCCGAAGAGGTGCATCGAGCGGCGGTCCCAGGGTATCGAGGGAGGCGTCGTCCTTCTTCCTTTTGCTATCGGGACGTGGGCTTTAATTGACCTCCTTCCGGTCTTGCGCGTTTTTCGGAGTCCTTGGAAACGGTCGAACATCCCCCCGCCCCTGCCCCCGCCACCTCCGATGCTGCTAGGAGCGTCGCGACGCCATTCAGGTGCTTTGGGGCAGCCTGACGGTGCTCTTTTCTCAGATCCTCGTCCATTTGCCATCCCCGGCCTGGACTGCACCTCGATGTGCGTTTCTGGGAGAACGGGTCCCCGGGGAATCCTGCAGGAATCCCGGGCGGTCCATCTCGCGAAACAGGTGGTGCTGGCCGGAGGAAATTGCGGCTTATGACCGCGATGCGGATTCCGGAGGCGGGCTCTTCCTCTTGAGGTATTCAACCGAGGTTGATGAAGTTTCGAGTGCATCGCGAAAGTTGCATCGGGGATTGCGGGCATCCTTGGACTCGTTGCACCTAGAGATGCACCGATGGAAGACAATTTTTGTTTATGTCTCCGATTTCGGGGCCAATCCTTCAACCTGGGCAAATGCAACGATAAGTGCATCGCGGTGCATCCGGGTGTCGCACTTAGGGAATCGAAGATCAGTTCCGGAGCTAATTCGACTCCGTAACTCCCGGCGCGTCGTTTTATCCGCCCTGGGGAAGTGTTCTCCCCGGGGCGCACCGCGTCCGGAGGAAACGCGCGGTTAGGCCGGACGGATGCTGGGCGCTGGTAATTAGCCGGATGCTGGGCTCGACTCCCATTGACCCTCCCCGTCGTTTCCGGTTCGAGACGCGACGCGGTTCGCGCGCAGGGGCGCAATTGCAATTGCACCTGGCAATTGCACCGACCGGGCCGGATATCGCCGGCCAAATTTAAGCCGCGTTTCATCGAATTTCCTCCCCCGCCCCATTGGGTCCCCCGTCATCCGTGCGAGCGATAGCCCCCGTTTCCCCGGTAATTGTCCTAAAAGCGCGTCACTTGCCCCAATTGGCAGCTCTGCCGGACCATTTTCGCAATGAACGTCATCTTCCCTATGATTCTCCCCCCCCTTTTCTTCCTAGACCCCTCACTATATAAAATAGAAAAAAAAAAAATAGATAAAGCTTTTCCAGCATTTCTATTCACCTACATCCCCTCGCGGTGATATGAAAGTGGTACCTGCAATTTTTAAATGAAATGTCACTCTGTATGTGAAATAAAAAAAATCCTCATAAGCAAATGCATAAAGAGTAGAATTTCTTGTGTGTCAGGACCTTCCTCGGAGCTTAAAATGTCAAACGATTCGGTTCACCCGGTTCGGAGGAATGTTTGATAAGGACCCTTCAGACGCTACTTTCGTATCACCTTAAAGGGGCCTTAAAGATCCGATAAGGGCCGCCAGTCAGGTTTTCCGGAAAATGGGGAAATTCTCTGATATCGCGAGGGGGTGGAAGCTCGAGTTTGCGGGGGAATTTTCGAACCGTCGACGGTATCGAGATAGGCTGGTTTATTATATCAGGGAACAAAGTACCCCGGGGCGACATTATATGTAGAGCAAAGCAAATTGAGAGAATCATGAAGTTAAGGGAGGGAGGGTTGATCAGCGCCGCATGGGGGATGTCGATATCGCTTTTCCATATCGCCGTTCGCGAATCTCTCGAGTTTTGGGGGGATAAATAAGGACGCGAGGTAGTCTCTTATCTTTCGAGCTTTTCGGGGTGAATGGGACCTGAAGGGGTGAGCTTCGAGGGGCGAACCGGCTCGGTTCCCGAGGGAAGGCGGCCGTTTAACGAGGGGGGGTCATAGGAGGAATAATATGGGGAATCACGAGAAGATGTCCTGTCCTCGACTTCCTCCAGTCGAGGACTCATTCGGGATGCAATGCGTG